CTGGTGACAAAGCCCAGGTTGGCAGGGGAGGTGGCAGTGAAGTCTGGCTGCAGGATGGAAAAAACCCGAACAAGAGTCAATAGCAAAAAGAGTGGGAACTGCTGTTTAGAAGTTTCAGTTGCTGGTAGATAGAGGCATCACCTTCTGCTAGACAGTTTCAGTGATTGATATAGTTAGTTGGGACTCACCTAGCTGCTTCTCACTTTTTTTAAGTGTCAATTTAGCAGAATTAACTTAAGCCTTAGCATGGTCATACTGTAGTTTTGAATTGTGTTTATGTGGTGTAATTTCTTGCACATGTTTTTCAAGCTTTCTGCCTATCTAGTTCATAATCCAGAGGGAAATATAACTATGAATGCTGAAAGCTGACTTTGCAGAAAACGTTTCTTTTATCAGCAGTATGTTCGACTGATGCCAACATTCTGAATTGCTAAAAAATCCACCCTATTTAATTACAGCAAAGTGATGTCTCAGCAAGCCTTTCTGTGGTAAGTATAACTTGTGTTTTTATTGCGAATAATTTCCATAAATATTTTGGGAGTCTGCATGAAGACACTGCTAAGTGACATTGACACACTTTTCCTGTTTGGAGTTGGCTTGTTCTTGTACAGTACTTTTAATCTAATCATCGTATCCTGACAGTGTGGCACGAATGTGAAACTGTGAGACAGAGAATTTAGGTTACAAAAACTAACAGTCTTCTCAACCAGAGATTTCCAGTTGCTCAAGGAGTGTACTTGTGTGGTAGTGGTTCTTTTCCCATGAAAATACTACTTCATTTTCCACAAAGTATCCTTTATCACAGGAATAACTACTGAAATTTAGTGTTTCAGTTGTAGTCACTAAACGGGTATAATGGGGAGATCATATATTAAACCAGATTGAAATATTTTCTTTTTCCTAATTCTTGTATTGGTTTGACATTACTGGAAGAGCAAAGCTTTGGGAAAACCTTCAAAGCAAAACTATATAGTGAAAATGCATGTTCTTGTAGCTTCAGAATACTTATATGTCTAGTGAGAAGATACAGGCAAGGAAATCTAAGTTTCTCTTAAGTAGTGTAAGATTACAAAAAGTTACAGCAGTTGAGTGACAGTGCTGTGCTTTGGCAAGTTTTTATTAATTCAGGAGGTGGTAAGAAGGCTTTACAACTGAATACTTACTTCTGTAAATGGATTGAATATTACATAATCTGAAAGGAATAATCTTTTGTCCTTTCAGGTTGACCCACAGCTTTGCCTAATCCTGTGTGGTGTAGCTATCCAGTCCTGCAGACAGGAAGCCAGTTTGGGGTACCTTTTCCAGATGACTTGATAGTCAGCCCGCGTCCCCTTGTAAGCATTGTCCTTGGCTTTCCCAGCAGCCTCTGGCGTGCAGTAATTGTGCAGCTCTATGGGGAGAAGCTGCCTGGAGACCCTGGCAGTAATGCTGTGACTGTGACATTTCCAAGGCTTCTGCGTTAGAAGTATGATGTTACCTGTGGAAGTAGGGAGGGGATGTTTGTCAGTGGAGACAGGCTGGGCTCAAGTAAGCTGCGCTCCTCCAAGAGGAGCTTCTGACAGAGTGAAGGTGATGCCCGCTGCTGCTGTTCCTTGCCTCAGTGTGGGTCTCTGCCATCTACTTGGTGTAAATAGACAGGATGCAGACAAGAAAAGGGAATAGGTGATCTTGACTTGAGACAGGTTGCTCCTGCAAGCAGCCAACAGGACCACTGAGCTGCCAGGAAGACTTTCTGCACGAGTTGCTCCCTGTGGAGCTCACGTTAATGCTGCGTGGGTTGTGAGCAGGAGGCATGCATTGCAACCCCTTGCTGCCTCCTCGTATAAAGCTTTCATGTCAACTACTACTAAGCACTAGCAATCACAGCCAGCATGGGGTTACACCTTTATAGCTGTACTACAAATGATTAAATGTTGACTTTTTTTTGCATTTACTTGTTCAAGTCCATTGATACATGAATGAGATTAGTATGGCTGTAGTTGGCCGTCTAGTAGAAGCTGAGAACAACTACCAGCTATACAGAACTAGGATGCAAAAGACTGTAATATGGTGGGTGGGAGAAAGTATCGAATGAAAGGTAGCTTTTGAGCTGTACTGCTGTTTAGGAACTGCCGCATCTTGAATGCGTCGGTAACTGTAAGATTTCTACTCTGTTGTTCAGTCCTATGTTCATACAAGGTAATTAGCAAAACGTTACATTATATAATTATGTGGTAATGTCTGCATATGAAGAAGGACGTAATATTGTAAGATACAGTTTCAAACTGAAGTACTTAACTGAGCACATCCCACAGTAAAGGCACAGTTGTTTATGTGTCAAGGTGCTCGTAATGGTGTGTCTTACTCCTGAATTACCAATCTATCTATTAGCAGCCTATTTATGTTACAGTTTGAGGCACATGAGGAAGAATGTCTGTGGCTTGCCAAGTGAGTCACTTCAGTGTTTATAATCTGTTGGTGATTTGCCAGGTAAACATCTGTGCCAAGCTTAGTTTCTCATGTGATCAGGAAGTGATACAGGAGGATGCACTGAGGACTTCCCTGGCCTCTCCCCTCAGCACCCTGACAGGAACGTGGCAATTGTCTTGTGCTTTAAAAAAGAAATTTTCAAATGCATGTAGAGCTAAATCTCATACAGGAATCGCGGAACATCTGGTATTTTCCCTTTTCACATCCTTAATTTCAAGCTCAAATAAGAAGCACCTTTTTAAAAGGAACTACCCAATCCCTGAGCATGTGTCCTCCCAGGAAAGCTTGCTTACCTGATAACATTTACTCCCTGTTGCTTCCCTGTGTGTATATTAGTGTCACTATTTCATTTCTCCCAGGATTATTAGTGTGGGATGAAGTGTTGAACTTGCTTCAGTTGGCTGAATTGGCCTTTGAAACAACCTATGAGTGCTTCTGCAATAGTGGAAATAGCAAGTGTCATCTTAAATGTAATTACTGCTTAAACGTTTAGATTCCTTGTACACAGTTTGGAAAAAAGGAAGGGGGGATTGTTCAAGCTGATCTCATGTGGGGAGCTCCTGTGAATCATTCTGAATCTTCCTGTGAGTGTGATGCAAGGAACTTGGGGGCTTATGTTTAATTTTGAATTTTAAAGACTAAAATTAGGTGCAAAGAGGTGGTGGTTTTATGCTCAGGTGTGCACATATACCCATGTGGCACCAGCCACCAGAAAATAATATTTTTATACAGTAACTCAACTGTCACATGAATTTGAAATTCAACTTTTTACTTTGTTTTTTGGAAAGAAAACTTTCATGTAACACAGGTATTGTTTCATTTCTGTATTTAATACATGCAGAAAACACTTTACATGGTATTGGCCACTGTAAATAATATAAGGACTTCATTCACTCCTAAAATATGCTAAAATATCCTAAAAATGGATGGTAAATTTTACAGGTGTCCTTTTTGAGACTTCTCTTTTTATTTCCTTCCATTGTGAGTACATGTTTCTTGCTCATCTTCTTTCAGAAATGACCTTTGCAATGGGACAGTGTATCTGGGGTAGACGTTCTTTAAAACGAAGAACATTGATTTGTGACTTAGCAAGTGAAGTCTTAGGAGAGGTTTTCTTGCAAGACGTTTATGCCCTTGTCTGCTTTTGGTGCTTTATGAAAACCAGATGTCACCTAGGCTCTTCAAGCTTTTGGGAGATTTTTGCTGCTGCTTGAAACACTTCATCACTCTGTCAGTAAATAGAATGGGTCTACTCAGCTATATTTGAGCATTCCTGGACTTGGCACTTACTTTGCTAGAAGACAAAAGTATGTCTGCTGGTGAGCATACTTTATTTGATCCCATGTCAATCATCTACTTGAGTTTATAGGACTTTCTGTTCATTTTTATTCCTTAGTACTTTTTGAGGTTTTTGACTTCCCTTTGCACTCTGCTGGAGCTCTAAAGTGTGAATGAATCTAACTTATCTAGCTTAGCTGCAAAGAATCTTTTCTGGGTGCTTTTTCACCACTAGCTAAATTACTGTGTTTGTCTATGGAAGTATAGAAGTAATACATTTCAAAATCATGTATTGTCCTTAATGTGTCTTACTGTGTTCCAGTCCTTTTTATCAGCCTAATACTGAAATAGGGAAAACGTGGATTAGCCCGTTGTCCAGTAGCGTGAAGAGCATACCCAGTTGTAGTAGCTGCCCATTAGAAAAGTCTGCCAAAGAACTGAAACTGCCATTCTTCATTTGTCCTTCCATGGCTCCTCTCCCTTATTTCCCCCCTGTTTGTTTTTTTTTAGCTCCTTTGTAAAAAAACTAAAGCTTGTGAATTTTTTCTTTTATTTAAAGACAGCGTATGTTAAAAGGAAGCATTTAAGTTTTGCAGCCATTTGCTGTTGGCTGCATTTGTTTTAATAACAGCTCAGAAGCTGAAGTGCTCTGTCACCAGGGCCTGGGGAAGAGAACATCTAGAAGTAAAAGGAGATTCTGACGTAATGTGTATTTCTAAGACTGTGAAACAAAAATGTAAGTGAAAGTGAAGCTACTGCTGAACATAAAGTTTACCACTGTTGCTGGGGAATAGTGTACACCACCTTCAGGATTGTTGTGAACTTGGCCAGACAAAATAGGTGGAAGGGCAGAAGGTGGGGAATGTCTGCATCCTATGATGAATTGGAGGAAATGACTGCCTGCACTCTGCGCACTGGTGGGCTCAGTATCCTGCTGGCAGGCTGGTTAGCACTGTAGGATACTGAACAAAAAGTGGTGAGTTGTCAGCTTTGGTGTTTAACTACTAGGGATGAGAAGTTGTTCTTTAAAAATATGCTGTGGATTTTCTGTTGGCTTTCTTAAACTAACTGGAAACTTTCTGCTTTCTTTCAGGAGCATTTTTTTCTGTGAAAACATTGCTGCTAACAAGCTCCAAACAGAAGTAAATCCAGTTGACTTGTCAGGTCACTGGCTCAGTGTAAAAGTGCTTTCATGAGGTAACGTTGGGCCAAAGTCAACTTTTCTTTCTCCTTTGTAAATCTGCAGCCAAGCAATGGGCCAGAAGATCTCAGGGAGCATAAAGTCTGTGGATGTGAGGGAGCCCCCTTATAGACCTGTTAAACGAGAGCTGAGAGGCCCGGATTTTTGCAAGCCAGCACGACTGGACATGCTGTTAGATATGCCCCCTGCCAAGCTGGAGGTCCAGTATAAACATGCTTGGAACAATGAAGATCGCTCTTTAAATATATTTGTAAAGGAAGATGATAAACTGACTTTTCATAGACACCCAGTTGCCCAAAGCACGGATTGCATCCGGGGCAAAGTTGGCTACACAAGAGGCCTACATGTCTGGCAAATCCACTGGCCCACAAGGCAACGGGGAACTCATGCTGTGGTGGGTGTCTCCACGGCTGAAGCTCCGCTGCACTCGGTGGGGTACACGTCGTTGGTTGGTAGCAATGCTGAATCATGGGGCTGGGATCTGGGACGCAACAAACTCTACCACAATTGTAAAAACCAGCCTGGGGTCACGTATCCTGTCTTTTTGGAACCGGATGAGTCTTTTGTACTCCCAGACTCCTTGCTGGTCATTTTGGATATGGATGAAGGGACGCTTAGCTTCATGGTAGATGGACAGTATCTTGGAGTGGCCTTCAGAGGACTAAAAGGGAAAAAACTTTACCCCATAGTCAGTGCAGTTTGGGGGCACTGTGAAATTACAATGAGATACGTCAACGGACTTGACCGTAAGTGTTACCATATTTCTTTATGATACTGTCTTTCAACTTTTTCCTCATGCAGGATTTTTTCTTTATCCTTTTGTTGTGAACAGAGTGTGCTGGAAGGGAGTGGACTGTCACTGCAGCTAGATTGCATCCCATAGTTAATGCCCACAACTAACACCTGTCAGTTGTGTCTTGTAATGGTGGTATGGATTGTATCAAAATATCTTCCCTTTTGGCAAGCAGACTGGCAAGAAATCTGTGTCCAAAGGAAGTGAACAGGCTGAGAAAAAAGATCTTGAGAAACTTCCTGGGTATATTTAACAGTAAAACTGTAGTTTACTGGAGGATATATGTTTTAAATCTGTGGTTTTCAAATAGGATTTGTGGATCCTGTAAAAAACTTTCTGTAGTAATGGGAGCTCTGACATGGTGTGCATAAACATACTTGAATTCAGGCCAGTAGGCTTTCTTTCCATAGTTGCCTTTCCAGGACCCTCGGATGCAGCTGTGGATCCCCAAGAATCTGGGAGCTCAGGTCAAATACTACTTTCAGCAGTTTTTCTGAAAGAGAGCTCTGTTCCTTAGTTTATTTCAGAAGGTGCACTCTCAGGATGTTTTCTTCTCCAGAAATACGGGGTTTTGGATGAGCATTGGCTATTTTTGATCTGAAGGGGTAATACCAAATTAAATTGTTACATAGTAGGGAGTAGCGTGTTGCTGCTGTGACCTTGGAAGTAGTAGCCCATCAGAAGACGAGTTGCAGAACTGGGTTTCAGCCAGTTCTTCTCGCTGTTCAGGAAGACGTATGCTCTGCCAGATCCATACAGAGACAGCGGACATTTGGTCATGCCCAGTTATGTACAGTCAGCTTATTGGCTGCTGCAAATTGGGGAATGGAAGGCTGAATGAGGTAGTAAATGGAACTTTGTTCTTGTTTAAGACTGTATTATCTGAGTGCTAGGCGAACCATGAATATAAATATATAGATTTAACAAAAATAGATGACTGAACAAAATTTTCATGTTTTTTTGGGCTTTATGAATGGAACTTGCTCTTGTAAAAAGAGAACAATAGCAAGTGTGCAACACCTGCCTTTCAATTAGTAATTTCTAAAGAAATTTACTACTCTCTTCAATTAGGATAGGGTGGTCTAATTTTTTTCTGAAAAAATTAATTCTCTGCTTATTAGCCTTATGTCTGACATATAAAGTAGAAACATAATTAAATGATCTGACCCTGTTTAAGATTACCTTTTCATAAACATCTGTAATAAGCACTGGGGGAAAGAATCTTTATCCGCAGAAGCCCTGCAGGTTATTACAGCCAGATGCTAAATGGCAGCTTCCTGAGCCCTTTCAACAGGGGAATATCGGGAGGATTGTAAGTATTTTGCAATTACACAGATGCTGCAGAGTGGTGTACTGACAGCTTTTTTTTTTTTGAGGGTGGTGGGGGAGAGATACTTTTGCAAACTGACTATTTGCGTGCAAAAGCAGTTTTTATAATACTGGGAATATCTGCAAAACTAAGCAAAGTACAGCTTGGCTTGGTCCACCATGTCCACATAAAGGAATCATTCTGCATTCCTTTCATAGCCTTCACAGGGCTGCTCAAGGGAGCTCTAGAAAGATGAAAACACAGGAGGAGGATGCAGATGAGTTTGGTAGAAATTATAAAATAAAAGGGGCTAAGTAGAGAGGGATAGCTGTGGTCTGTGAGATGGCAGAAAGGAAAATTCCCATCCGGTTTCTCGTGGGATAATTTTGCTGGAAGAGGCAGGGCAGCTTCCTAAACTATCCCTGAGAAAGTCAAAGTAGTCTTTTTTTTTTTTTTTTTAAGTGTGAACCCATGGCTAAAAGTAAACTTGTAAACTGAACTTTTATGTAGGCCTGAGTGTTAATCTGATCATGTGAAGAGGAAATTTAAAGCCATTTCGGTATGGGGCAGTTTGTCATCCTGGAATCACATCATTTATCACATGTTCACTGATCCATTACTGTCCTGCAACAAAAAACATCATTCAAGAAACCAAAGTAGCTTGTTGTAACTGGTGCTCTAAAGCAAACACCACCTTTTGCCTGCTAAAAGTGTTTCTGTCCAGCCAGCCCTTGTGTAGCAGTGCAAGCTTGGTCTGGCACTCATCATGTTCACTCTCATAGCACTTTTAATTACAGGTCTTTATAATTGTTGATGTGAAAATTGGAGTTGATCTTGAAGAACAGTGAGATGCTAGTGTTGCATTCACAAATTTAAATGCATTTGAGCATACGTATGTGTGAGGGTGTTTTTTGTTGTTTGCTTGCTTTTTTAACCTTACAAATTTGCCTTTTTTTTTTTTACACCCCCCCTCAAGTAGCTCGTAGTGCTGATTGCAGCTTTTAGTAGATCTGGCAATAGTAACTTAGCTGTTCTTGAAACCGTGCTGTCAAACAGTGACTTGTAACTTGCTATTTAGTGATTGATTGTTACTCCTCAGAATGCATACCATAGCCTGCAATGATTGTTTATGTGCTGTCTTGCAGAGCAAATAGAGACCTTGACTGCAGGGATTTCTAGTGTTTTCAATACTTGCTGTTTAAATAGAAGACCTCTGAGCACTTTAAAGGCCTGTGTATTTCAGTTGCCTGGCAAAGAGTGAAAGGCTTGCAGGAATGAAAGAGTGAAAGGATCAAATGATGGGCTTATGCAGCTGCAGTGAACTTAAACATATGCCATAGTGGTATAGAGAAGATGCAGACCTCGAAATATGTTAATTGCTGCATAGATGGCAGAATTCTAGAAGGATAAGGCTGCAGGGCAAAGATCAGGAACCTGTGTGCCCTCTGGGCTCTGGATACTGCTCCTAGAGTAGTGCTGTAGTTAAAATCAATCATAGTTCTTGCAGCTGCGTCTGATACTCAGAGTATTCTGCTTCAAAAGCTACTTTGAGCATCATGTGATAATGTGGTGTGACTTTCACAAGACAGTTTCTCATTCACATTTGGGAGACTCAGAGCTGCAAATATTTGTCAGGGATTGGGCGGGAAGTCAGGAGGACAGAATGGAGAATGCTCATCATAAGCACATTGAGTTCTTCCTAGGACAGACTTCTTTGAACAAATGCTATCAGTATTTACCACACTGTTTGCCCAGTGCCTAAGTTTTACAGAAATTTACACCAGACTTATGACTCGTTGCCTATGATAATAATTAAAAATGCCAAACTGCATAAATGCAGTAGATGTTATTTTTTAGATGTTTTTTTCATCAGGGTATGCATGTTTACAAAAAGCTAGGCTATTTATACCTGTTGTCTGATGAGGAGTCCTGAAGATTATTTATATACTGGAACAGAGAAATAGCGAAACACTTTTGTATAAGCATACATTGCTGGTCGTGACTGGTACATTAGTACTTGTGTGTTTAAACAAAGCGGTGGAAGGACACTAAGTGCTGTGGTGGAAAACTTGGTGATTGAGTAGGTAAGTTGAACGCAGTGATTTATTTTGATCCTTAAAAATACCTTACAGAATAGTCAGTATTTTTGAGTTCCAGTCAAAATGCTTTTTGTAAGCATGCATTACAGGTCCAGCTCTGCCCTGTTCTGAACCAGTGTGTAAAAGGAGAGTAGATGATCTGTATTCTGTATATAATAATAGTAGGGGATCCATAGACATAGAATTTGATAATGCAACTCATAGGTACAAAAATTAGAATTTAATACCTCCCTAGGCAGGGAGAAGGCAGAAGGAGGCTCCAACCTCCTTCTATCAATGCTGTGTGATAGTGTAGAGTTGGTTGAAGTGAAACACTGAGTGCTGGCAGAAGGGTTTGTGGGGCTCTCCTGGTCTTGGGAATCATCCCACATGTATACGTCAGCACGGCACATTCTCAGTAGTGTCATGAAGAAACATCTGCAGGCGTGCATCAGCACTGGCGCCCTGGCCATCTCTAAAAATGCCTGCTGGTAGCACTTTCAAATCCCTTCGTCCTGTAACTTGCACTCTTGCTGAAAGTGCAGTGCTGGCTGCTATAACCATTGCCTTGGAGTGGAGCGTCTGGTTGGGCTACGTTGTGGGGCAAGTCCTAATTAGAGACACTGTCTCCATGTGATCGTGGCAATTTTAAAGCAAGCCACACTTGCCAAACTCTTCTCTAGGCTCTTGACTTTGTGAATTTGCATGAAGGAAGGGTAAGTCAATGCTGAAATGAGCTCTGAATGTCTTTAAATTGCATGTGAAAGGAAAGAACTCTGATTTCTGCATGATGATGTGTTGAGCAGACTACGATAACTGAGGACTAAAAAAATTGCCCCCCACTACTGCCAATTTATATGTTTCTGGTTATAAATCCTGAAGCAGCTACTTAGAAATAAGTAAACTTGCCAAGCGTTTGGGGTAATACTGCCCAACAAACTTTTCAGTAATAATGTCTGATGTCCAGCACGGACATGTTTTACTCTTAGAATTTCTTTTGCCTTTTTAAGTTCCAAAAACAATAACTCCTGTTTTGGTTGACGATAGACTGTAAGACTTTTTAAGATAAACAATAGTATCCCATTAGCTTCCTTTAAGTACTTACTTCTATTAAGACTTTAGCCATCTTGTCTCAAACTGATGTTTTCTTAGATCCAAGAATTACCTTTGAGACCTTTAGGACATTGACTCGTCTTTATGCGTGACTCTCCTCCTAAATTAGGAATGTTGATTTCAAAATAGTAACTTTGAATTTACCTTATATAGTAGTACAACTACTTTGAAATATTCTATAGCAGACTTTATTTCCTTTTGTGTGGTTCTCTTTGCTTTTTAGGTGCTAAAGAGTGCTTCTTGAGCTTGGTATTGATAGCCCAATGTGGTTCTTGTGCTAAACCTGGCATAGCCCTTACACAATTTTGAAAATAAGTAATTGTTGAGTTCAGGGAGCTGGAAGCATTTGTCTCAAAAGAGAAGACTATGTTACTTACAAATGTAGTTTGTGGAAAAGATTTGTGTGTACCAGTTCATGTTTTAACCTAGGGATCCTTGTTACAGTATTTGGTA